CCACACTTACCGTAGCATTCCTCTACCATGACGGAGTAAGGGTTGGGACTGCCACACTTACCGTAGCATTCCTCTACCATGACGGAGTAAGGGTTGGGACTGCCACACTTACCGTAGCATTCCTCTACCATGACGGAGTAAGGGTTGGGACTGCCGAGTGTCTTGGAGTCCATCTCGCCGAGCCGGAGAATGTTCTCGAGGCCGTTGAGCGCGACGTGAACGATCTTGGCGTCGACGACCGTCAGCAGGTCACACAGCGGTGCGATGCACGTCTGCTCAACGAGGTACCTGCACGACGACGACGCGGTTACCACGGCAATCCATCGTCGCGGTCGCCACGGCGACCGTTGCGATTACCATAGAAACTGTTATGGTTACCGTAGCGACTGTTATTTTGACACGTTATGGTTACCGTAGCGACCGTTATTGTTATAATAGCAACCATTACGATTACTGTATCAACTGTCATGGTTACAACAGCAACTGTTATTGTTACCATAGCAACGGTTATTGTTACCGTAGCAACTATCAGTTGTGATAGCAACCTTCAGTTACCACAGAAACGGTGAGGGTTGTTGTAGCAACTGCTATACATGTAACCAGGTTTAACTATTATGTATTACATACCATAATGAGCGTACTCACCTAATCTTAATCTAATCTTAATCAAATCTTAACACTCATATCATCTGCTTACCTAATCTTAATTTAATCTTAATCTAATACTAACTACTATTACTCTTATTAATACTAATACTAATTTAAAAAAAATCTTTGTTTGCCCTCACGTAACCCAGGCTGAAAAGTTTGGGCAGGTAGGTCAGCTTTGAGGGGGGGGGGTCATTTTACAAATTCAGCCTGGTCTCTACATGCTCGGGTGTGCTTGTGTGGAGATACCTTTTATGTTGAACGTTTCTTTTGCTTGGTACATATAATGTATTGCCTACAGATTATATAATGTACAGTGATACAATTTGTTTAAAAACAACAACTTTTTTGGCAGGTCGGTCGGGTGAGGGCAAACAAACAATAATTTTATTATGGCCTTACCGTATTTGCTCGGGCGTTCCCCCGGACGTAGCGTTCGTGATCGCCCACGCTGCCTCCTTGCGAGTCTTGAACTCCGCCTTGCCCAGGATCTCGATGAGCACCGGGAAGATGTTCGCGTCGATGACGGCCTGTGCAGCGCCGGAGAGACGACCGTTAGCGATGACCGCCGGCGCCATCTATCGGGCGTACGCGGTACTAACGGCGAGACTATGTAGGACCGACTTCGATAAAAAGAGGGAGACTACGTAGAAGGACTGAAAAATGTCTTAAACTTTAAAAAAACTTGTCTTAGTGGAGTTAGGCGCTACAGATCGACTACAAACAATGCTAAAAAATGGACACTGATTGTCACTGAAGACCAACAAAAAGTGGAATAAAATTGGCAGCAGACACTTATAACGTAAAGCAGATACTTAAAGGCAATTAACATTACATAGCTTTGTTTAAGGGCCAGTGTTACACCGACCCCGATACAGAGGTAAACACTACCAAGGAGCTAAATATAACAAGGAGAGGACGCGCCGCCATATCTGGCCCAAATTTGGGTTCGGCAGAGACCCTAGAAAAGATTAGTGTTCTATTGTCTCTGGGTTTGGTCTGCACAGCCATTTCAGCTGATTATGGTCCATAGATGGCGCCCTTGAGGCGAAAAGCACACAGCCAATCCGCTTCCTCTCCTTGTTATATTTAGCTCCTTGTCACTACAAGTGGGACTAAAATTTCAACGCTTCTACAAGGATAGTGTAATTCGCCCAACTGCCCGAGGATGATAGGTAAATCAAGTTACACAATAGATAATTTCCAGATCATTTCCGGTGGCAGTGTTACAAACCGGTCATGACAACGATCGGAGTAGAACGCGTACTGGTAAACATGGACGGGAGAAGCAACATCGAACGTACGACGCTCTGAGGAGGACGAAAAGCAGAGAAGAAGAAGAAGACGAAGAAGACGGGGAGAAGAAACGGGACGACGGAGAAGCCGGTTGATTCTCAAGGATGCTGGGAAGGAAGGAGGGAGGGAGGGAGGGGGAGGGGGAGGGAAGGAAGGCGTGACATTACTCGCCTGGATCTGCTGCCGGTTGCCGGCAGTGATGTTAGAGATGGTCCAGCAGGCTTCCTTCCTTATCGACTCCTTCGGGGAGTTGAGGAGATGCAGCAGGCAGGGCAGCGCTCCGCAGTTCAATATCACCTGTTAATACACCGCGACACATCGCTCGTTATCTACCTGCCTCTCATAGATATCGTCACCACAGAGGCAGCGCGCTACAGTTCAATATCACCTGTTAATACACGCGACACATCGCTCGTTATCTACCTGTCTCTCATAGAGATGTCACCACAGAGGCAGCGC